TTCACAAAAATTGGTCACGAGGCAAAATAATCAAGTAATGGATGACGGGTAGAAAAATTATGAGCATTTAATTTTTTTATCTTTAAATAAGTAGTGTCATACCCACCCTTTACTTTCCTAAGAAGAACACCAGCTGGGTGATCACATTCATTTGGAACAAGACAAAAATAGGGTAAATACAAAAATGAAAAATAATTAACAAAACACAAAATGAGCAAATTAGGGAGATTATGAAAATTCCTAAGTGAATTTATAATATACAATTTCAGTCAAGCAGTAATTAATCATAAAAAAAAGTCATAAGATGGAAATTTAATTTGAAATTTTCAATTTGGAATGTCGAGAGATTAAAGGTGACTTTATTATCATTGAGATGGATTTTACGGGAACTATTATGCTACACTTTTGGGGTTGACATGATTTTTATAAGGCTATGTACCATTTAATTTCATTATCAACAGTTAAATTAAATAGTTTAACTACCTAAACATAATCATGATCAAATAATCTAAGACTGTTTGGATAAAACGATACAAAAATTAAAAAAAATCAACAAAAAGTAAATTATTATCACAAAAATCGAATCTCCTTTCACAAAGATCAGGTCACAAGATTTTCGTTGACAAAAAAATCAATACAATTGGACGACAGATTATCACTGACGTCAAAGGATAAAAAGATACTTGACTTGGAAAAATGTGAAACTCAAAACTATATTCCTTTATATAATTTTCATATTGGCAACTCTCCTTATCATCCTTACTAGATTAGAGAGCTTAAGGTACTTCATTGGATACAAAGTGTATATTAGAAATTTCATAGATCCAGCAATCTAATGAAAATCATCAAATCTTTACAATTTCACCTAAACTAACACAATCCATCCATTTCTTATAAACCCTAGTCTCTCTCTAGTTCAAGACCTACAATCAATCCATTTCTACAATTTCTCATTGACCAGAGTTTCTTTTGACACAAGACACACAATCAATCAAACAAAAACTGTGAGTTTACCGAGATTGATGCTGGAATGAAGATGGGTGAAAACATTTCCCATTCAGTCAAATTGTTGGTATGTAATGAAATAGTGAAAAAGGTGAGCAGACAGTTGTTGAGTGAGTGAGGGAGACCAGGAGACACATTACCAAACCGATTTAGAGACCAAGGCCAAGATGAAGGGCAAAGTCAGTGCTGGACAGACCAAACATGTAAAATTCGATTTAGAGACCAATGCCAAGACAAAAGGTAAAATCGGTGCTAGAGAGACCAAACAAAATGCTGTGAAAACGGATTTAGAGAAGATGAAGGGTAAAGTCAATGCTGGACAGACCAAACGAAATGCTGTGAAAGCCGATTTACAGGCCAAGATTACAGCAGCAAAGAAGGAAGCATCTAAACTGGCCAAGGTAGAATATCTCGTTGAACTACTTTTGTGGAATTTCTGTAAGGTTGTGATCTTAACGTAGAGAAGTTCCGTGCTTATCTTCGAGCAAAGACAATAAAAGGCCGAAAATGCTTTTCTGAAGGCCTGTATCGAATGAAAAGATGATAAGCATAGGCCTTAAGTTTTCACTTCATTGAAAAAAAGTCACTTATAGGTGCAAGAGGCAAACTTCCAACTCAATCAGAATAAGAGGGGCGAGGGGCGAGGGACACAGCCTTATATGCACGGATGAAGGTGTCCATCTCGGTGTGCTGGGCTTGTGGTTGAACTGGAAAGCGATTGAGGGAGGGACCAGTGCAGTACAGTGGTGGGATGTGTAGCTTAGGTCTTTTGTTTCCTTTTTTACTTAGCTACTTTGTTTTCTTTTGTTGGACCGATTAAACTCGTCATGCTATTTCCCTTTGTTAGGATGCACGCGTGAGTTGTGTTGGAGAAATCCCATATCGAATAATTGGTATGGTGTAGAGCAGTTAATATATATTAGTTGACCTATAACTCATTGACAAGGTATTGGATTTCTGCTGTTGTGGTTTTAAACGAAATACTCGTGTTTCTTTTGGATCATTTAACAAATGTTGGCCAATAAAATAAGACACTATTACGATTGATTCTTCGCAATACATGGTTTAATGAGTGCATAAAATGCTTGCTGGGCTTGTGGCTTCTTGCGAAATTTTCGTCTTGTGGGCCATGATATATTGGGCAGAAAACCCCCATCATATTTTTTTCAATTTGTTAATTTACTTATTCATCCTTTTATTTATCTATTTTTTGCTACTGTTGTTTTTGGTATTTTATATTTTTATATTTTCATAAGAACGAACGCCTCTAACAGTTGATAAAATCAAATGTCTACAGCATCCTCCATAAGAACAACGCTACCACCATTACCCCACCGAAACATATTTAACAAAACCGACTCTATTGCGGCACAAATACCTAGCCACCATCATTAACAATGGAAATAAAAGGCTCTGCGGACACAGATTTAATAAAAAGAATTTACACAGTACATGCCGAAACTCTAGACTAACATTTGTAAACATTAGTAATTATTTACTCTATTTTTTCAAAATGAATTCAACTTATTTCATATTTTGATTTTTTACAAAATATACAGGTGGAATTTAGGGAGATTAGGCATGCGGGTACCGGCACGTTAAAATAAGGAACGCAGTAATATCAGCCCGCCGAATATTTACACTCAAACAGGCGGGGAAAGATTTTAGGTGTTGGGCTCGAACGAAGAATTGAATTTTGAAATATCTAGGTTGCTTAGTCCAATTGCTCCGTGGCTTGGCCCATTAATTGATCTAAGTGCCAAAACAGGCAAGCCTAATTCCCAAATATATATATATATATATATATATATATATATATATATTAACTTTACTTTGAGCGATAATTATGACCCGAACTTCATTAATTTTCACTTAAATCTCAAATATGACTCAAATAATTTGAAAATTTCACATCACGAGATCAAATTTGAGACTCGAGCAGAGAAAAAAAATTCGAATTAGAATTGTCACTACAGGTAATGTTTAAAATTGGCATTTTTCTTATCGAAATAGCCCAAAAAAGGCCGTACCACATTTCACTCTCCATCTTCTTCTTTCCTCCTCGTATTCACAAATGGGAGCCTTGCTTTCACTCCAATTCCTGCAATGGAAAGACTGATCCGAACGCTTTCCACCTCGCCCTCTCTCCTCCCTCGCGCCAACCTCCTCCTTTGCCGCACCTCCTCCTCTCCTCAGCGCACGTCGGACCTCCCCGACTTGTCTCCCGCCGCCGTGTGCGACGCCCTCTCCGGCTACGCCAACGACTGGAAGAAAGCCCTCGACTTCTTCAACTGGGCCGAGCGGCGGTACCGCTTCCGGCACACCACCGACACCTACAACCGCCTGATCGACATCTTGGGCAAGTTCTTCGAGTTCGACCTCTCTTGGAGCTTGATTAAGCGAATGCGTGACGACCCGCTCTCGTTCCCCAACCACGTCACGTTCCGGATCATGTTCAAGCGGTACGCGAGTGCCCATCTGGTCGATGAGGCCGCCATGACGACCGTCGGCTCGACGAGTTCGGTCTGCAGGGCGACACGAGTTATTACAATTTGGTCGACGCCTTGTGCGAGTACAAGCACGTGATGGAAGTTCACGAACTCTGCTTCGGCAAGGATAAGAGGGCGGACTTGGGTTTCGATGTCGATGAGACGAAGATCTGTAACATGATTATTCGCGGGTGGTTCAAGATGGGGTGGTGGAGCAAGTGCAGGGAATTTTGGGAAGAGATGGACAAGAAGGGTATCAAGAAGGACTTGCATTCGTACTCGATTTACATGGACATTGAGTGCAAGCGACGTAAGCCATATAAGGCTGTGAAGCTGTACAAGGAGATGAAGAGGAAGGGGATTAAGCTCGATGTCGTGGCGTATAACACGGTCATTCGCGCTGTCGGGCTCTCGGAAGGCGTGGACTTCGCGATTCGGTTGTGTAGGGAGATGAGAGAATTGGGATGTGAGCCCAATGTGGTGACACACAACACCATCCTCAAGCTCTTGTGTGAGAATGGCAGGGTCCAGGATGCGTATAAGGTGCTCGATGAAATGCGCAAGGGCGGTTGTAAGCCGAATGTGGTTACATACAACTGCCTTTTTGGGTCTTTGGAGAAGCCCAGAGAGATACTGAGATTGTTTGATAGGATGATCGGGAGCGGGATCGATCCTAGGATGGACACGTACGTGATGCTCATGAGGAAGTTTGGGAGGTGGGGATTTCTCAGGCCTGTCTTAACGTTATGGAATAAGATGGAGGAACTAAGAGCTAGCCCCGATGAATCTGCATACAATGCCTTGATCGATGCTTTGGTGGACAAAGGTATGATAGATATGGCTCGAAAGTATGACGAGGAGATGCTTGCGAAAGGTCTTTCCCCGAAGCCTAGGGCAGAGCTGGCACCAAAATCAGGGGATGGTTCTTGATGGTCAAAGCTTCCAAACACCATGCTAAACGTAGGTTACATGCAGCATGGATCGCTCCAGTGGAACGAAAACGGTAACGCGGAATGTCCCTTGTCGAAAATGAAAACGGTAACGCAGAATGTCCCTTGTCTAAAATGCGGTACAACAGGAGTAGGCTTCTTTTGATCACAGAGTTAGGATAAGACAATACTGGACCATCATCAAGACGCAAAACTGTTCCGGCCTTCGTGGTCTCAGCTATACGTTTGTGGAGTAATGATACGCATATTGGAAAGGAAAGCAAACAATTTGGTGCGGCGCAAGATGGTCGTTTAGAGAAGTGGATGCACGGCATGAGGTGGTGGATTTACATAACACAATCCATACAAGCCCGTCGAAATATTTGGTGAATCAAATTTGGTAGATTGTCTTAGCATAGCACTCCTATAGTGTTACTCATATTTAATACTGAACTTGTATCCTTGCGCCCCTGTTCATTTTGAATTTCCTCGATGATCCTACCGTCTCCAGTCTCGTGTTCATTCATCTGTTATACTCACTCACTCGGCCCAGTGGAGATTCGACAATAAACAAAAGGAACGAGAATCTCACATTGTCTGTCATTTCAAATTAGTCTTATCTAGTTTCTGCATTACAAATTGACAAAGCCTGTAAATGGATGGATTTTCCTCGCGATCTGAATGATAGCAACATCACCACGAAATGGTAAACTGTTCCGATATAGGGGCTCGGTCTGAAAATGATAAAATAGCCAATGCCATAACCAAGTAGACATCTAGCCGATCTTTCGCAGCGGCAACTCAGTTCTCTCCTTACCATCTTCGCGATCTTTGTAATTATGACATACTCCTGGTTATTATAGTGGGTCCAGAACTTCAGATTCCACCGACTTCAGTACCTCTTCACCCATTTGTTTGCATCCGACCAATGTCTGCATATGCAAGCGTTAGACGACTAACAACTAATCAAGTCACTACAGTAAATAATGCCTGCATATCATCTATTCTGAAACGAAATCATCCAGTGGGCAGAAAGCTTACAGAAAAGCACATCCATCAAATTTTAAAGCCGTTACCCAAGTTACGTGCAGATTCCATCGTCGGCTAAATATAATCTCTTCAACCCAACACAGCGCAAAAAAGGTCGAGAGCTTCTGTAAGCCAATTTAATATGTACTATTTCACCAAGTATGTAGCCAAACTGACTCCTTCCCCTCAAGCAAGAAAATAAGGGCCCTCAGATCTAATATCGTTATTGGTTGACATGAGAGAGAGAGAGAGAGAGAGAGAGAGAGAGAGAGAGAGAGAGAGCTCATTGAATCCATTCTCCCAGTTTCAGTTGACAACTCGAGTGTATTCACCAAGTATAAAATGAATCAAGAATAATTCAATGAATTTTCAAGGAAGTTGCCAAGAGAGAAATAAATTGCATACTGTAGAAATGAAAGAAAAGCACATACATTGCCGTCAGAGTATATGTCACCAGTCCGGAAGCCTCTATTGAGAGTATCGAGCACAGCAGCTTCTATTCGCTCTGCTGCATTTTTCTCCCCTAGTCCATACTTCAAAAGCATAGCAGCACTTAACACAGTCGCCAACGGGTTTGCCTTATCCTGTACAACGAATTAGAGAACTGAATAAATACATTCTTATCTGTTTTACCTTGGAAAACATGTTCATGTTTCCAGACTTAACCTGTCCAGCAATATCGGGAGCAGACCCGTGAATAGGTTCAAAAAGTCCAGGCCCCTGTTTCAACAGTATAGTTTTTGAATTAAAGTTGGTCCAAAATTAGACTTTTTAGCAAAAAATGAATACCGAGAAATATCAACAAGCTTCTTACCTTCTCGCCAAGACTTGCTGATGCAAGCATCCCAATACTTCCAATAATCATTGAAGCCTCATCAGACAATATATCACCAAATATATTGTTTGTTACAATTGTATCAAACTGCATAATTTATGAGTTATCATGACAACTGGTTCTCACACTTGCAAACTGGTGTCTTCTCATAAAGAGAAGAAATAATGTTCATGAAGAGCATACCTGCTTTGGATTACGAACGAGTTGCATTGCGGCATTGTCCACGTACATATGGGTTAGTTCAACATCAGGGTATTCAAGGGCAATTGCAGTGACTCTTCTCCGCCAAAGCATTGATGCCTAGCCATTCAAATGAAAGAATAAGTTCAAACTACTCTCTAAGATTTTGTACATAATAACTTAGTGAATGACCTAACATAGGAAGCTGATGAGACCGTATTCAGTATGCTCGTGACAGTCAACATCTGGCCTTCTAAAAGGGAGAAAAAAGATAAGACAGAAAGGAAGAGAGAAAGAAAGAAAACAAAAAAAAAAAAAAAAGAAGAGAGAGAACTTAGACTTATAGAGAGACACAGTCTGCTTCCTGTTTCGAGGTCATATGGAAATGCCCATATTCACTTGCATCTAGAGTTCCACAACTTAGACAAAAACTGACTTGAAGCAACAATAATCTATGCATAGGATTGTACCTTGCAGATATGTTACAATCTCAAAAGCATGAAAATTCACGACAGGACAACATCAAGTAATCTTCCTGAATGATTGATTCGATAAATTATCTTCAAGACTTCCAGGTCCCTTAATTTTAAGTATAAAATGCCAGCATTTGTGCAGCAATATAAAACTATCCTTGCAAAGAGCTCAACAAAATTTCCTACCTCCAACACATTAGCTTTGTCGACAGAGCAAAGCTTTCCACGCCTCTTTCGGGCATACTCAAAAGCAACTCGAGCAATGCGATCAATCTGCCATGAAAATATATATCATGTCAATCAAATATCTGGAAGGTAGAAAGAACAAGAAGTAATATGTCTTCAGGACCAAGTCTAAGTCAGGAAGGGAGGCAAAGGGAAGCATACCACTGAAACATTCGAAAAGGAAAAGAAAAATACCCCAAAGTTAGCCATAGAGGAGCCTTCTATGTTATAATTCCGCTACATCTACCAGTATCGACTATTTACAAAGAATAATTATGGTAGCTTCCCAATCCACACAAGAACAGTCCGACAGAGGAAAAACATTGCCCAGTAAGTTTACACACAATGAAGAAGCGGTAGAATATATTAATCAAAATCCTTTAAACAAAGGAGACCAAACATTGATGATTGATGGGGGAAGTAGAATTTCAATGCCTGTCTAGAATAATGCTCATAATCGGCAGAATTGTGCTGACTACAACTTCATCAAGTTAATGAGTCATACAATGAAATTATGGAAGGTGTAATCACTCATAGGTTGAGGAAAAGAGACCCCAAATAGAAAATGATATGATTATGTTTACAGTTGTGGCAACACAAGAAAAAAAAGTTACCTCACTTGTTGCATATACTTCAGTATTAAAACCAGTCTCCTCACCATTTTGATTGGAACTAAAACCCCTTGGTTTCCCAAAGTATATTCCTGTTCAAACAAGGAAATAACACACAATCATCCATGTCATACTGATAAATATTCAAGCACGAAAGAACAAATAAATATTGGAAACTAACCGCCTGTGAGCTCCCTTACAACCAGTAGGTCAACACCTTCAGCGACCTCTTTCTTCAAACTTGAAGCATCAACTAACTGCGAAGGAAGATCCGTATAAAAGAGTGAGACCGTCTCTTCAGTGATTAAGGTAATACTAGAACACGTGCGTTCATAAATATGCAAAGAAATCAAATATAGTCAAGGAAGAAGTATCACTGTAATAAGAAGCATAGCAAACTAACAAATACAAGCTATCCAATGCCGCACAAAAGAAACAGAGGCAGCTTGTATGAAATATTTAGTCCATAAAACATAGAAAAAGATCATGAAATCAGGCAATCAAGAAAGTGGTCTAAAAACAACCTGAGGTAATACAGTTGCTGGCCGTAAGTTTGCAAATACTTGAAGGCCTTCTCTTAATTGAAGCAGCCCAGTTTGTGGCTGCAAATGTTTTTCGTCATTGTCCCACTTATACCTTAGTATAATAAAAAAGAAAACAAAAAAGATTTATCACAGAAGGCAGGAATAGTACAATTAAGAGGGAAAGATTACATGGACGAAAATTACCCTCCAATTGCTCCAAGAAGAACAGCATCAGATTGCCGAGCTGCTGATAGTGTCTCGTCTGGCAATGGAACTCCAGTCAAGTCTAAAGCGGCTCCTCCCAAAGGCATCTCTTGGAAACCAAATTCAATACCTAAGATATAGTACATACAACACTGAGAAGCTGAAGTCCATCTCAAGATCCTATCAAGAGTTGGCAGTCTTTTTAAAATGGCTAACCAAGATATGAAACCAAATCTAGGAACATTGGGAGAGAACCAACTTAATCGATGCCAATCCACTTTTGGTCTTCTATTCCTAACTAATTTCTAAGAAATAGAAGAATTCATTACACCGGTAGAAGAAGTAGTGCAAAGAACTTTGTCATCCACTGAGAAGTTTGGGGAAATAGTTCCACAAAGGGCAGCTTGCGTAGCCACCAACTCATCTGGTCTGGCATGAGGCCGGTGCCAATCAGAGTTTAAGATAACATCTGAAACCTTAGCAGTAATAGGTAGACTAGAATCATATAAAACTTTCCGAGAATATACCTCCAATAGAATTCCATGGGGATGCCAATTATCTACCCGTAAGTATGTGGATGTCCCATTTCCTATGACATTTTTAATGACAGGTGTAAGGTAGGGTCTGAACTAGACATGGCCACGGGCCGGTTTCGGCCCGGAACCGGCCCGGGTCAAACCCGGACCGGCCCGTTGACCGGGCCCATGGTTCAGAACCGGAACCGGCCCGTGGCCTACGGGCCCGGTTCCAAAGAAAAAAACATTATTTTTATCGCCGGTTCCATCTCTTTCTCTCTTTTTTTTCCCAAATTTAATTACAATGTACATTTTGATTACATTTTATATTGAATAATTCATTATTTCATGATTTGATAATTCATTATTTTTTTTGGGTTAATACCACCAAAAACCCCAAACTGGTACGCGTGTGACAATTTTACCCCAAACCTTTTTTTTACCACCAAAAACTCCAAACTAGTACACCTGTGACAATTTTACTCCAAATTGGTAAACCCGTGACAAATTTACCCTAAACTATTTTTTTGACTACGAAAAACCCCAAACTGGTACACTTGTGACAATTTTACCCCGAATTAATACTTTTTAAATTTTTCGAATTTTTTTATTAAATTTTTTTATTTTTCCTTTTCTTTTCTTTTCTTTTTTCTTCATCTTCAACCTCTAGCCGGTCGCCAAACCGGCAATCGGCCAGAGGCAGAAGCCGGCGAGGTCGGCCCCGCTGGCTGCTGGCGAGGCTCGACGTCATATTCACTTGATCTCATATTCACTTGAAAGTAGACAGTACTGACAATTCACGAATAACGAATCCAGGACCGTAAAAGGGGAGAACTTTCACATAATCTAAACTTCAGAGCTCAATGAGCTTCCATCAAACGGCGAGAAAAGCAGAAGGGTGTTCCGTAAAAAACAAGAAACAGCGAACAGAAGTCGAAGGAAATAAAAAGGGGGACCTTCAAGTGATGCAGCGAGGCTAAGGACGCCTTTAGCGACGGAGATGACTTCGGGGCCGATACCATCGCCGGGAATGAGAGTGATGGAGTAGCGTCTGGTGGGTGTGGTCGCGCCGCACCTGATGCTGCCCAATCTACGAGGGCATTGCTTGGGGAGTGAAGCGCTGTTGTTGTGGCGAAATGGGGCTATGAGGGGTTTGGAATTCAGCTGCAGAGAAGCCATTGTTCAGACAAGGGGCGAGAGAGAGAGAGAGAGTTGCAAAGTTGCAGAGTTCTGTGTTGAGCGAGTGCGACGCTATATAGGCAGCTTGGCGGCTCCTGTTGGAAAACAAAAGGTGTCCTGCACGTCTGTCTTGGTTTAATCACGTGAGAGAGAGAGAGTTGCAAAGTTGCAGAGTTCTGTGTTGAGCGAGTGCGACGCTATATAGGGAGAGAGAGATAGTTGCAAAGTTGCAGAGTTCTTGTGTTGAGCGAGTGCGACGCTACATAGGCAGCTTGGCGGCTCCTGTTGGAAAACAAAAGGAGTCCCGCACGTCTGTCTTGGTTTAATCACGTGTTTCCGCATACGTAAAGGTTGTGTGATTAATTAACATTAAATACAAAAGGAAAAGGAAAATGATCAGCTCTTTTGTAATACAAAATATCTACCTTTTTCTTTTGTAATATTAAATCAAATGTTATTGACATCCCGTATATTTGATCATCTAAGATTTCCTTCTTCGTGATAAATTACATTAATAGTTATTGAACTTCGGTCCGATGTGCAATGTCATTTCTGAACTTTAAATTTGTTTAATGTTATTCTTGAACGTTATTCTAATGTTCAATATGATCCTTAAATTTTTAAACATTTTCATATAATTTAGCAACTACATTGACTTACACTAATTATTCGATAACCATATTGAACAAATTAAAAATTAGGAGCTAAAATTCATGGATCTTATTGTACAAACTAAAAATTAAGGAACGACATTTCACATTAAACCAAAATTTAAATTCCATTTTTATCTTCACACTCAATGCCTAGCATAACTTTTCGCCGTTTCCAAAGGGGAACAGGTCAAAGCTCCCATACTAAAGACAGCTTTTTCTCTATTCTGCAAGTGGGGTAATACGATTTGGTTTGGTTCAAGTTGAAAACGAAAGAGGGAATATTCGAATGTTCTTTATCTATCTGTGTTCGTTTGCGGAAAAATATTTTTTCGGAAAATATTTTCCGCGTTTTCCAGTGTTCGGGGGTGGAAAATATTTTCCGTGGGAAAACATTTTCCTTCCCACACCCCCAAATCCTTTATTGTTTTGAGGAAATCATTTTCCCCCAAATTGAAGGCAAAATTGCCCATGGGAGGGAAAATATTTTCCGTGGGAGAGGAAGTTGATCGCCGGTCACCACCGTTGGCCGCCGGTCGCTGGCTGACCGCCGCCGCCGGTGGTCGCCGGCTGCCGCCGCCGCCGCCGGCCGCCACTGCCGCCGGCAGTCGCCGGTGAAAAATATTTTTCGAAACTTTTTCATATTGGTCGCCGAACACCGGAAAATTATGTTTCGGGAAAATATTTTCCAGGAAAATGACTTCCGCGAAAATATTTTTCAAAAGGAGAATATTTTCCGCCAAACGAACGGAGCCTAAATAGGGTAAAAAAAGAAGTCAATCGTACTTATTCGTTGGAGAGAAACTATTGAAGGTTGCCCAATAGTCATTACTCTTATTTTGGCCAACTCGCCTGAGTCGCCTCTGTCGTTGCGCTGCCCACAGAATAATAGTGGAATGATGACTTCTTGAGTGTCCACAACCACAAGAAGTGACTTAGATTCGTGGGGGCGTCTCCTTCTTTTCGTGTCCGTACTTTTCTTCCTCTTGTGTTTTTTTTTCCCTTGGGTTATTCGCCGGGAAATTTTATTTTAATTTTATTTTAATTCGGGGGGAGGTGCTTTTTCCATGGTCTTTCCCTTATCTAAAAAAGAAAAAATCAGTACATGCATGCTCCTCTTTAGAGAAATCCGACGTTTTTTGAGGATCTGTAATGTACTTTTTGTATCGTGTGGGTTCACTCTTTTTTAATTTCTCTGTCGAACTATAATATATATTTTTATGTATTTTTATCTATCAAAACATTCGAAAATATTAACTTCTAAATTATCATTAGCATCTGGGTTTTTCTAATCGTCTTTCAGAATTTTAACTATGGGAAAATTGAGTGGGTTCGTTTGTTTCGCGGAAAGCATTTTTCGAGAAAACACTTTCCTTATTTTTCGGCGTTTGGTTTGCTCGGGAAAATGAGTCAACGGAAAAGGTTTTCCTGGTCAACGGAAAAAGTTTCTTTACCAAAGCTTAAATTCGGGACAATGATTTCCTCTTTAATAGAACTGAAAATTGTTTTTCAAAATATAACTAGCTATCGAAGCTTGAACCTGAAACTCTACGTTTCGGCACAAAAACCCTAATGTTGGTTCCCGAGTCCCAACAATTAGGACCAAGTCTCGGTGTCTAGGGCCCGGGCCCCCGACGCCCACGCCCGGGTCCATCAAGGCTGAGCCCAAACCCCTGGTGTCTGTCCCCGATCCTCTGGCACCTAAACTTGGGTCCATAAAGGCCATGCTCAGGTCCTCGATACTTGAGCTCTAGTCCCGACCGTCCGGCCCAAGTCCACAAAGGTTGTGCGCAAGTCCTCAGCGCTTGGGCTCGGGTCCTTAATTAATGAAACATTTTTTTACAAAAATATTTATTTAAAAAATTCTATTTTTTATTTTTTAAATCGAATTATTTATTCTTTCCTTTTCTTTCTTTTTCTTTTCTTCCTTTTTCTTTTTCTTCTACCTCGGCATGGTCGCCGGCCACGGCAACGATCGATAAGCTCGCGGCCTCTGGCAGCAAGCCCCTAGGTAACAGCCCGAAGACCGCCAAGACCCAGGGTGGCGAGCTCGAGGCTCGGCCGATCCAGGCGAGCTTGCGGCTCGCCAAATCCAGGCAAGCCCGAGCAAACGTTTGACTCGTGAAATTCACAAACTCGAACCAAGCAAGACGAGCCAAATTGCATGACCAAGGAGCTCAAATAGATCACGATTAACGGGCAACACGTTTCGAGATCGCTCGCAATCTAAGTAAGTGAGAATATAAGATGAAATAGATAACGATTGAATACTCTATTTCAACTTTGGAAGCTAACGAGGCGCTGGATTTGACCAAACCAGCTCGATGTCAAAGCAAAAGCACACTTTGCGAAAGCGACCCGATGGCTGCATGATCCATTCGATCCTTATCTTGGAATAGCGTCGTCATTTAGATTAGTTAAGGGCCATACCACGTTAGATGCGATGTTACGTGAGCCTTTTCATTTCGCAAGCATTTGGCATCTAAAATATACAACGTACTTTTTATTCTTTACAGAAATTCGATATCATCGTGACCGTAGATATTAGAATTTTAAATCACAGTTAATTTCCCGGTATTTTGCAAGCAAAATACTATCTCTTTCCATGTACCCTTATCCAAATCACTTATAGGCCGTCGCTCGCTGATATTCATTGTCATTTTTATGTCGGACATCGTTAGTACGATTTCGTAGCCACAATCATCATTGCCACATTTGTGAATTTCAAGTGAATGTGTCAATACAGGTAGGAGTGATCGGTTCCCGGTCCAATCCGGTTCTGTCCGACCCGATTTCAAGGTAAAACCTAGAACCGGACCGGGAGAATCGGTTCTCAAAATTGGGAATCGAGGATTGGATCGATTGGTCCTAGATTCGGGACTGGACCGGTCCAATGGAACCGATCACTTTTATTTCTCATTATTTGATGCCATCTTTTCATGTTGAATTAAGTGATACGTATGCAACGATCCTTAAATTGAAACGACCAACCAAAAAACGGTTTCACTTAAGATTTTGTTCACATTTTACTAATTTTTTTAAAGAAATAAAAACTGAAAAAAAGTACATATACTCGGTCAGGTCCGAACACCGGTTCCACTTTTAGGAACCGGGAACCAGATCGACATTCCTGGGAACCGGACCAAACCAGCCGGTCCAGTCTGGTCCGGGCGGTTTTCGAGTTGGGCAGTCCGTTATACACATCCCTAAATAGAGCGAAAGAGTTATTGAGTCAATTTTTCGTAATTTTATGTCACGTAAATTTAATCCGTATCGCCTAGATTAGAACTTATAATGTTTTCGAGTGCTTTCGTGGTGTTCATTTGGGTTTTTTTTTCATTTTTGTTTTTTTCGGAACGTATCTTAAGTTCTAAGCCAAGGCCAGATTAAATTTTCATGATTTAATTTTTCTTTAGGGGGCGTGGAAGTGCTGCTTTTCCATCTCATTTCCCGCGAGAGAGAGAGAGAGAGAGAGAGAGAGAGAGAGAGAGAGAGAGAGAGAGAGAGAGAGAGAGAGAGAGAGAGAGAGAGAGAGAGAGAGGCTGGGGCTTGGGCCCCACAAGTTGTACACACAAGTGGGCCCCCCAATTCAGGACTCGGTTCCCGAGTCCCGACATTCAGGACTGTTGAGGAAAACTCCTATTGATTTTGAAGTTGACAAAACCTTCCATGTTATTGTAAATCTGATACTTATTCTGAACTAATTTATTCCAGGTATGTATATTCTGGAAGCTCAGAAGGAAGTTTTTCAGATTTTACAAGCTGGTAAATACATTATTGAAGACCCACACAATTTAAGTTCTGAGACTCAGACGCTGAAATTATTCAGACGCAGACGGAGAAATTTTCAAAAGCAGATGCAGAAGCTGAAATTTTTCAGAAGCTGACGCAGACGCAGAAATTCTTCAGATGCAGAACTCAGAACGAAAAACAACAGCTAGTGATCTGGTATGGATTTCACAGAAGGAAAGCTTTGATCTCTATCAAATTGATTGACAATCAAAGATTACGACAAGCATGCATTACAACGGATAAAACTCTACTTATGGAAACTAAGATTCTGATTGTATGGGCGACCAGAATCAGCGGGATTCAGAATCTGTCATCCAACAGCTACTCAATCCTTTCTATACAAATCTGTCCAACGTGAAGATTGGAAGATGATCCTCTGAAAGCTGTCCAACGGCTAGTTTGGAAGTAGAGGAGTATTTAAGGAGATCAACGAGCAGCAGAAGGTAGTACAGAATCAAGAATCATCAAGTCCAAAGTCTGAGCATACTCCAATCATTTCTCTTGTCTTTCTGAGCCAAATATTAAGATCTTGAGGACACTTTGTAAGAGTGATTGTGTGAGATAGAGAGTCCTATCATACACAAGAGTGCTAACACTTAGAAGTTGTAATTCCTCTTGATTACATAG